AAAAAAAAAAAAAAAAAAAAAAAAAAAAAAAAAATAGCTGTTGATGGGAAACGGTAGCATATTTTCAATATAGCTTTGCATATACTATAGTATTTTAACTGTTGATTGTAGGTTTAGGGTTTGCTACACCAAAATGTTAATTTTGGGTACAATACAATACAAAAATTCCCAGGAACTTAGCCATACTAGGTGGAAAAAAGGACCCATTTACTCTAAAGAACACCGGTCACATGATGAAAACAGTTGAACAGTGGCTAAAGGTGCCCATACACCTTACAATTATCTGCAGATTTTCTGTGGTCAGATGGAAAAAAAGTGCAACAGATTGGCCCGGTGGAGATTACTCCATCCACACAGTTAAGTGTAGATGGAGGAATCTGTTGCACCTTTTCCATCTGACCACAGAAAATCTGCAGATAATTGTAAGGTGTATGGCCAGCTTAACCCTTACATCTTACATTGCGAAAGCCTGTCATGTGTTCTTATACTACTGAATAACTGGAGCCAGAATTACAAATTCTATAGACTGGAGGACTATTTCCACTGGGACTTCAGGAATGCAGAATTAAAGAGAGAGTTCACCAAATACTGCACAAAATCGTCCATATGACATTAGAAACTTAACTACAATTAGTACTATGAAGCACAGTTTGCAGCTATGAATGTATACAAACAGAAATGTGATTTGAAGAAACTAATATTTTTATCATAGATGTTCTTATTGCCTAAAACGTAGTAGTTTTAAGGGCAGACATAAAAACCTGGTCTCATCAATACTCTTTCCACAGAGCTAATCCAGCCTTTCCGTGGTCTCCTCTCTGCTTCCTAGTAATATGCTTGACTGAGGAAACACAAAAGACTGAGGGAGTGGAGGAGAGGAGGGTCTTTTAAGCAGATTAAGTGACGTGTTTCCTGTGTGTGGGGGAGGAGATTCCATCTCGTGATGCTGTCCTGGAAGACGTTATGGGAAATTCAGCTCACGTCTGAACATCCAACTATTTTCCAAGGTCTATGTTCTCATTAACAGCTGGCATCTGATTTGCTGCTATGAGCAATACAGACATTTTGACTTATTTCAGTCGGCTAATCAAATCCAGCTTACAGCTAATAGGGGAGATGTAATTCTCTCGCAAGAGAGATTACCGAATTCTACAGGAAAAATGCTCATTGTAATAGATTATATTTACATATATGATTTATCTAAACCCATATTGCTTTTAGTAGAGAAAAAAAAACCCTTGTATCTTTAATAATAGTAGTCCACTAATGGTAAAAAGTGTTTGTGCAGTCCAGACTAAATCTGGCCATCCACTGAACGAATTTCGCCCAGTCTTTTTTTTTTTATTAACCAGCCGAAATCTATTCAGTGGATGGCCCCGAAGGCAGCCTTCTGTCTGGCATCCTTTGAACAAAAAAAAATTCAAAAATTCAAAAAGGGTGGTTGGAAAATATTCCAATTGGCTGCTGTCACTATTAGGGTATTCCGACAGTGGCACACCAGAGACTGTCAGAATAGAATAGCCCAGCAGGAGATTTGTCCATCCATGCTGTTTAGTATACCAGTAATATTTTTGACATTAAGCCTGCAGGTTTAAAAAAAGAAAATAACAGTGTATGGCCAGATTAAAGCTGGCCATAAAAAGCTGGAATTTCAGCCAAATTCTGCTGAAATTTCCTATGAAAAATTGTTGGCCGAAAAGCGATTGCACCCCATCACATACTTTTACAAACATTCACAGTACCTAATCTGCTCCTAGATGAAAGAATTCTATTTTCGCTAAATGCAACTAAACTAAAAAACACAGCTACATGCAGGTAAACGTTTAAAAAAATCTATGCATTTAGAGATGTCCTATAAACCTATGAAAATCACAGGTTTGTCAATGCCAGTTTGAATGAGGCCCAAGAGTGCCTTGTATTTCCTTACATGCCCTACAGACCTGGAGGTCGTCGCTTAACCTTGGTCAGAAACTGAAATGATTTCCTGAAAGAGGCATAGAGTAAAATAAATTGGATTCATATGGCTGATGAATCACAGAACAAATGCTCAACATCTGGCTAGAAGCCGCATTAACACTGCACATGATGGAACATTTAGAAGAAAAAAGTGTTGTACTTTCCAGCCAAAGTTTGACTTCCATCTGCCTAGGGAAATATGCGTTCAGCAGAATTATTGGAATGGGCTTCCCACACTGATCAGGGAATGGTGATGTCAGCACTTGCAGGCAGTCGCCCACTTTCCACTGATCTGGGAGAAGTTTCAATGTGGTGTTTGTGGGGAGAGCACGGGATTGTCTCCCTCAGAAGAAACCCCAACTACAACACACAAGGCCACAGTGGTGTGTGGTTATGCTAGAAAATAAGCCCATACACTGTCTACATAAAGTGACCTCAGAATGTCGGGCACTGTATAATAAAGTGTCTTAGAATTTAAAGTGAAGCTTCTACATACAGAAATATGGGAGCTGCTATTACTGATTGACTGGCTGTTAAGTTGACCCAGTGGCTAGAATACTTCATGTGTAGATGAAATTGTGGAACAAAATTATTGTGGATCCAGCACCAGAGGTCGTTTACCCTGGGGGGGCTGACAGGCACACCAGCAGGTGGGCCAGAACATCCCAAACACCAAGAGAACGGATGTATCACCTGACGCCAGCTTCCCAGTGTATCTTATGTGTGTATCACTCGGCTGTAGATTCTCAAATCATCTCTGAATTGGTTCAGACACTGTCCTTCCTTCTGGAGGGTGGCTACTTTTGTTCCCCATGGTCCCTGTGTGTGTTGTAAAGTAGTCACCGCTCCAAGTTCACTCCTGTGATAGACTACAATGTCAATACAAATTGGTAAATTAAACATAAGATTGTAGTCATCTGTTCTTCCTTCTGGAGGGTGGCTACTACCGCTCCAAGCTCACCCGCTTGGAGCGGTAGTAGCCACCCTCCAGAAGGAAGAACAGCGTCAGCATGAATTCAGGAGATGATTTCAGGATCTACAACTGAGTGATACACAAATAAGATAAATTTTTGTAAATAGTTAAGGTACTATTAAGGGGCATGTTTAAGATTTACCCTGCTGAGTTTAGTGTCACTAAGAAAGTTGGCCATATTCGTCATTACCATCAGCGTTTGGGAGAATAAAGACTAAACTTCAATATTAAATACATCAAAGTAAAAGAAAAATAGAATAGGCAAGGGTGTAAAAACCATCATTCATTGACTTTTGTAGACAATGTCTATTTTTCAGGCGTTATCTTTTATTGTAACCATATATTGTTCTTTGAGGTTGTTGGATCTCCGTCTCGTACTCATTTCCTTTTACTGAGAAATTAAGTGTTTTGCCAAGGATGGGTTTATTTGTCCTTATTCCTAAACAAAAGAAAAAATCAAACAAAATCAAAGAAAACAAAATCAGAAAATCAATAGTGAGGTTTGCAATGGTGCTGGATAAGTGTCAATGCTCCAGGCATGTTCATGTGACAAACACCCCCAACCCCCCCCC